TTTGACTGTGTCAGTCGGATACCTGTATAAAGGTTAGTATGAGGTGTAAATAAAAAGGGAGATGGTTATACCTTAGTGACGATGGCGTTTTGCCTCGGTAAGCCTCCAGTATTTGCACTGAGGACACGGTATGGCCCTTTTTTGTTCATTCGAGTACAGCTGAGAACATGCCTCGTGGTTACTATTCCATTATTTGTTTATCCTTCAGCACCTTTGACGGTGGAGATATTGGTGTTTTGGGTTGTGCCGACCACATTGACTGGTATGGCGGTTTTCCCTTTCGTTGTTTTGTTCGCCGTGTTGAGTCCGTCGAGGACTTTGAAAGGCGATCATAATTTGGTCAAGCAATCCGAGCTGCTCTGTCACCTTTGATCTGATAATATTGGCCGAGCTACCTGGACCCACAAGTACATGTTTAATTTGAAATGTGTTCACAAGAAAAGAAGTTACCAGTGTGCCATTATGGGGCTGGGATAGAACCTCAAGTTTGCTTTTCCCTGTCGAGGGATGTTTTTGTTCTCCTGGTCGTGGGTTCCTGTAGGGCATTGACACCTCAAAAGATCGTATGGATGACGTGTTGCGGCTTATCTGCTTTGCTCTTTTTGGTCGCCTCTCTTTCCCGGAACTGATTTTTGGCCCGGTCGCTAAGGAATTCCCGGAGGTGACCTTTGCTGAGTAATCGAGCCACTTCTTCCCAGAGTTGTCGGCAATCTTCGGTCTTGTGCCCATGCGTGTTGTGAAATTCATATGCTAAATTATGGTTCCTTTGTGAAGGGTCTAATTGTACATGCCTTGGTCACCTGGTGTCTCTGATTTTATTGATGTCAAACACGATGTCTGATATATCGACGTTGAAGTTGTATTCCGACAAGCGAGGTTCCTCCGTCGGCCATGTGTACCTGTCAAACCCAGCTCTGCTGACAAGTCCCCGAGGATTCTGGACTTGGTCCATCCTTCGAACATTGCGGGGTATGTTGCGCCTCGGGGCGTTGCCTCTATCTTCAGTATATGGTTGGTATCTTTCCTTGTTTGGCTTTGGCTCTTTTGCCAGAAGCCTGCTTGGTTATACCGAGCCCAGAGGGCTCCTAGTTGGTCGTCTTCGACCCTGATCTTTGATGACGTCCGACCAGGTCACGATGGGATACTTGACTAGGTTCTGTTTCAGCTGCTTTAAAGCCACTGAGCTTCGTTCATTCAGACCTTGAGTGAAAGCATGCACTTCCCAGTTGTCGAAGACTGGTGGTAGTTCCATTCGTTCCATTTGAAAGCGAGATATGAACTCTCGCAGTATCTCATTCTTCCTCTGCTTGATCTTGAAGACGTCGGATTTTCGTGTAGCTACTTTAATGGCACCGACATGTGCCTTAATGAAAGAATCTGCCAGCATGACAAATGAGTCTATGGAGTTAGGAGCTAGGTTGTGATACCACATCATGGCCCCTTTAGAGAGTGTTTTTCCAAACTTCTTTAGCAACGCGGACTCGATTTCGTCGTCCTTTAGATTGTTGCCCTTCACTACGCAAGTGTAGGCGGTGACGTGCTCGTTGGGATCTGAGGTTCCGTAGTACTTCGGAAGCTCAGGCATTCTGAACTTCTTTGGAATGGGTTTTGGGGCCGCTTCCTACGGGAACGCCTTCTGTACAAACTTCTTCGAATCCACACCTTTCAGGATCGGGGGTGCGCCCGGAATTTGGTCGACCTTGGAGTTGTAGGTCTCGACCTTCTTGTCATTGGCTTCTATCTTCTTCTCGCCCAATTCGATCCTCCTCGTGAGGTCCTCGAGCATCTTTATGATGGCGGGGTCGGCTGCCGACCCGTTGTTGTTTGATCTCTCTGGTACCTGCTCGACTGGGGGAGTCGTCCCCGGTGCTACCGTGCTGGGAGTTTTCTGGTGACTTTTCAGCTAAGCAATAGCTAGCTGTTGTGTCTGCAACATTTCAAAAATAACGTAAAGGCTAACCTCTCGTTCTTCCCTAGCTGGGGTTTTTTGAGCTTCTTGTTGGTCTCCTTGGTGCGCGCTCCTGTTAGTGTGGGAGCTTATATCGACGTGTTGGGCATCGCGTGAAACCGCATCCATGGGAATTGGTTCTGGTGCGTTCTCAGGGTTTCGCGGTGGTACACCAACACCTGAAACATCCACGCCATTCTTTCCCTGGTTCTCAAGATTGTTGTTTACTGAGTCAGACATTTTGACCTGAAATCAAAGATCTTGGCCAAGAAAAAGTGTGAAAGATAACTTGTGTTGTGTAGTAAAACTAGCAAGAAAATAATCACTATTTTTTTTAGCCCCATGGTAGGCGACAAAATGTTTACCGTGAAATTGGTAATAACAATTAAATTTGATTTTGTGGTTCTAAAAATACGTTATCTATTTTTATGCTAGTTGTTAAGCAACGGATGCTAGGTAAAAGGATAGAAATCAAGATTACAGCTTAGAAACGGTATGACAATAGAGCCGAACAGTTGGAGATCGGGGCCTCGATCCGTTGATTATAATGCCTCGAGGTCGAGTCGGGTAACCGTCTTAGAGCGATCGAGGGGGGATTAACAGTTATGAGAGCTAAAGACGGTGGCTCTTTATGATCAATGATAAGCAATAAGTGATGAACAATAAATAGAACGCAATAAATACAAGCAATAAATAAAGCAATGAGATCAAGAAAATATGTTAGAGAGTAGAGAGAATGTTCTTGTGTATTTAATATTGAGCAGCAGGTGTTTACAAAATGACAAGGATCCCCTTTATATATGAAGGGGAACCCCAACATAGTACAGATGCATTGATTATAAAGATATGGGGCTGGTATAGCCATTTAATGTCTTGATTCGTTTTTTGGACTAGTTCGCTAGGCCTTGTAAACTAGATGCATGCGCCTTGGAAACTTCACCTTGATCCACCGAGACCGCTAATTTACATTGCCTCAAGGCCGGTCATCATTTACGCTACCTCGAAGTCGATCACCGAGAACCCTCGGAGTCGATCACTGAAAATCCTCGAGATGCCTTGATGATCGTAAAATTGAACCATCGATTTCTACCGTATATCTAAGCTTCATCTAATCTACCTTTAAAGGCTAGGCATGAGTTTACATTTATTTTCTAAACTAGTCGCAGTAAGCTCGTACTGAGCCCGGGCCCACATCTAAGGCCGAAAAGTAATATATATGATTAAAAAGAATAATATGCATTATGTTTTTAATTTTTTTACCAAATATGTTATTTCTCCTAATAAAAAACAATCCTGTGTACTCAAATTATAATCAAGACAAATTTCAAATCCACCGGCATATTTTCAGTCTTGTATTCCTTGTGAATCCCGAATTGATATACCATATGTCATATTTAAGAGATTTGCTTAGAACTCGTATCAACGCAACAAAGAAACAAATTTAATTCTCTTATGTTTGAACTCACATGGCTTTAGTTTGCTGATTGCTACCTTTAAAAATGCAAGGTTCTATTTTTATTTAGAGGTAAGATTAACGTGGACATCTAGCGGACATAATCAATATAAATCTGGGGGTTCATATTTTTACTTAAAGGTAACAATATCCCTTGTATTTATGATTAAATATCTTGTTGATGTTGTGTAGATCTTCACTTTTGGACATTTGTTCCTTTGCTACATATTGTAGGATTGACAAATGAGTCAGTTTTAGTTTAAGCTCCAAAAAATTAAAATCTAACGATAATGATAATAATTATATAATTTTTTTTTAAAAAATCTTCTCATAATTTATAGAGCATAAGTTGTCCTCAAATCAATATATATATAAGCCTTTGAAATTTAAAATATATTTTTCTTTGAAAAGTTTAAGTTCATATTTTTACTTAAAGGTAACAATATCCCATATGTTTATAATTAAATATCTTGTTGATGTTGTATAGATCTTCGCTTTTGGACATTTGTTCCTTTGCTACATATTGTAGGATTGACAAATGAGTCAGTTTTAGTTTAAGCTCCAAAAAATTAAAATCTAACGATAATGATAATAATTATATATTTTTTAAAAAAAGTTCTTCTCATAATTTATAGAGCATAAGTTGTCCTAAAATCAATATATATATACATATACATATATATAAGCCTTTGAAATTTGAAATATATTATTCTTTGAAAAGTTTAAGTTCATATTTTTACTTAAAGGTAACAATATCCCATATATTTATGATTAAATATCTTGTTGATGTTGTATAAATCTTCGCTTTTGGATATTTGTTCCTTTGCTACATATTGTAGGATTGACAAATGAGTCAGTTTTAATTTAAGCTCCAAAAAATTATAATCCAAAGATAATGATAATAATTATATATTTTTTTTAAAAAGATCTTCTCATAATTTATAGAGCGTAAGTTATCCTAAAATCAATATATATATAAGCCTTTGAAATTTAAAATATATTTTTCTTTGAAAAGTTTAATTTTGATTTCTAAAAAACAAATCGGAATGATCTTTGAAACAGAAAAAAAAAAAAAAAAAAAAAAAAAAAAAAAAAAAAAAAAGAGCATAAAGTTATGTTTTGAAAAAATATCTGACCAAAATATTCTATACAAAATCAAAAAACTATTTAAAAGACCAAAAAACTTAACCAAGAATTTTTTTCTTTAAGAATAAGTTTAAAAGAAACAAAACCAAAATCAAATTAAAATTACGCAAAGAAGACCAGGAGACACACCTTTGTTGATACCCGTGGGAATAATACAAGAAATTGGACTTATTGTGGCGACCCATTTGGTTGCAGCAAAAGTTAGAGTTTTAGCGGCGACTTTAAAATGTTGCTACAAAATGACAATATTTAGTAGCGACTTTATTTGGTCGCCCATGATATGTGCAACTAAAGGCTGAAAAATTTTATTCCCACGAGAACAAAATTTTGGCTCCACGGATTTTGTGGCGACTTTAAAAATGTCGCTGCTAATTGTATTTTGGAGCGACAGGGTCGCTGCTATACTTAGTTATTTTATTTTTTTTTAAAACAAAGAAATTATAGGCGAATAACACTAAAAGATCTGAAGGCCTAAACAAAGAAATTAGAGCCCCTCTCATCAGCTGCTCAAAATCCCTCTCTGCTCAAAATCTCTCTCTACTCAAAATCCCTTATGCTCAAAATCCCTAATATCAGAAAATGTGAATCTTATATAGATAGCTCCATTTCTCAACTCCTAATTAAAGGAAGATGTTGGCTGCTCCATTTCTCTGCATCTAGTTACTGACCCAAAAGCTCAAATCATGTATGTGTTCAAATCCCTAATACTTTCATTTTTCTTTTGGGTTATACGAAAGTTTGTTGGATTTTCTTAGGATTTTCCAAATACAACAAGAATGAGGGGGGAATTTTACATTTGGGGTTCTTTATAAAAATTCTAGAAGGCAAAATTTTTAACATGCAGCTAGCAATAATTATTATCTTAATGTTTTTACATTTGTATTCTCATATTTCATCTCAAATTTTTTTGACCCATTTGAATATTTACAGGAATTCGTACAGATTGTGTCATCTAAGTGTAGTTATTTGCTGATTCTAAGTCTTGACCGAACTCTCAGCTATATATTTTCCTGGGTAAGTGAAAGTTTCTCTTGAAAGACCCTTTGGTGTTGTTATTGCGATTGTATGTTTGGTATTTCATTCTTTCTCTATTCTTATGTGGTTATTTTCTTCCCGCATAAATTTGGCAACTTTCTAGTCCGAGAAAGCTATGAGACGAGAAATTGGGTTCTCTCCTGCTACTTTTAAGCTCCACTTTTACTCTATTCAAGGTAACCTTATAACTAGAAGTTAGTTTTATGATCTATTTTATCATACTATGGTTTGAGTTTGAGCCTATGTTGTGCTGATTTGGGTTTTAAGAATTTTGACCTAAGGTTTTAGATGGAGTATTTTAGTTTTAGATGGGGTATTTTAGGATGGGGTAATATTTGTTCTAATTACACATTGCCTGATTGGTTTTGGAAAACTTTGTCTATGGATTGGTTTAGCTGACATGTAGTAGAAAATTTGTCTGAAATTTGCTAATTGTTAGTTTGTTTAACATTTTACAGCTAGATAACATTTGTATGTAACATGCTTCACATTTTTGTACTATTATCTGATTTGCTTAGTTGACACGGTGAGCTCACAGAAATTCCATGTCGATTCTAAATTTTTAGGTTCAAGTTGATTGAAGAAATTCAAGATAATCTCATATTCTAGACCTTAGTCTTATTGGTTTTTTTTGTTTCTATTTCGGACGGTACCTGTTATTGTATAGTTTTGGGTGTTTATCAGTTTTATGTTAGGAGTTTAAAAGCATAGCAGAGTCAATCAATATGATGGAAGTGGATACGAAAATAAAAAGGCTGATAAGGTATTTACTTGAATTATCCATTAATTTGATTCCTATTGACTTAATTGAAAGGACCAGGATTGTCATAATAGCTAAAGGAATCAGTTTTGCAGTTTTAGTTTTTGATATTTTGGTATTGATTTGTGGAATTTTCAAATGGATATATTTTGCTGTTTGTTTGCATAATTTGTTCAAATTCAATCCGTTTTTAAGTGTTGGAATCTTAAAACACATCTTCAATTTCAATTGCTCTTTTTCTTTAAGCCCTTTTTAATCTACTTTTCATATTGCTCTACTGTATTATTTTCCTTTAATGTTTTGATGGTCAAATTAAGAAATCTGGACAACCAAATTCAACACCTCCTACACTTTGTTTTTGCAGCTCTTGGTTTCCAAATTTCTGAATATGTCTGGTTTATTGAGGATGTTATCAATATGCTAAATCTTTTTTAGCAAGCTTCAGATTAGTAATGATTGTAGTTACTTCTGTAGCTCAATATTAACTTCATCGTTCTTATCTCTTAGAGTTACATGTATTTCACTAAGTTCTACTAAGTAGTATTTACAGAGTATTGGGTTAATGTAGTTTTACATGGCCAAACTTGGACGTATTGATCTGGTTATGTTCGTGGAAAAGGATATGGAAAGAAGCCTCCTAAAAAGAGTAACATTCAGCAGGCAAACATAGAGGCCATCATGTCTTCTGCTATTGATATTGTGCATCAAGAGATGCAAGCCGAGATGGATAGGAAGTTGCAAGAAGAACGTGAACAAATGGCTGCTGAGTTGCGAAGAAATATGGAAATTGAGTTGGAAAGGAAGTTGGCAGAGGAGCGTCAACACGCAAATGCAGAAGCAGACAAGAGGATCTCTCTAGAAGTGGAGAAGAAGATGCAGGAACAATTTGCTAGTTTCTTGACTAGAATGCAACAACAACAAGTACTTGCTCCGCTCCTTCTTAACAATTCTTCTTCCTTCTCGACTTTTCTTCTTCCTTCTGTAGTGACTTTATGTTTAGGGGTTTAGTAATGTGTTGGCATCTCTGGTTTTAGTAATGTGTTAATTTTATTTCAACAGAAAGGTTGATCTTGTGCATTGTAATGTTGACCATATTAGGTAGCAGTCTAAACAACTGATTAAGCCTATCAAAGGAACCCTGAGATCTGATGCATCTCACATTCTAAAATGTAGAGTTAATCATTAAAACTGGATAGATGATGATGATGATTTGGACTGTGATCTGGTCATACTTATCTGACTTTTAGTTATCTAACTTTTTGTTCTTCCTCATCTGTTCCCTCTTGTGGCTTTTCCTCTAGCAGATTAGACTCATCTAGGTGATAAGTTCATATTCTCAGTAATTTCTCCAAAGGTGGAGTTTTCCTCCACACTTTCATAATCTTCTTCACTTGTCTATTCCTCTTCCTCTTCTTCAATGTCTATGTCTTCATCAGTTGGCATTTCTTCCGCTGACACTTCCTCCTCCTGTTCCTTTTGGATAGATGATTGTGCATCTCTTTGTTTGGTGGTTGATTGTTTTAGCTGGTTCTTTATTATTATTATTGAATTTATATGGATAGATTTGGGTGGCTGGCATTTTTTTTATCAGTATCAGTATCAGTTTTTTTGGCTAGTTATTTTTTGTTTTTTGTTTCAATTTGTTGAATCTAGTTCTATGATAACAATACCTTCCCCTTTTGATAAGTCTGTTTTTCTTTCCAGTAACCTCCTTAAACCCATTATCTCCTCCCTCATATCCTCTTTTACTACACCATAATCATGTCAACTATCCTTGATGATTTTTTCCACATGCGGACTGGAAAAATATAGTTTAGGAGTGCTGGAGCTAAGTGCTTGATAGGCCGTTAACCCCTCTGCCAAGTTGTTCATATAAGCTTGTCGTCGAGCACTAATATTCTTAACCAAATCATCACTGCCTCGTTTTTTTTTTTACTGCTGGTATTGTTAATACTGCTGGTACTTATGTCATTGTTAAGATCCAAAGTGATCTGTAACACTTGTACTCATTGTTTTAGGTTGCTATAAGTTTAAGAGCGGCTTTGTAGTGATAACTCTGATTCGTATCCTTTACAGAAGTTTTCTGATTCATATCCTTTACAGAATTTCTTTTTGTTTGTCAAGAACTATAATCGACATTTCTGCATGCATTTGCTTTATGTGCTATTTTCATAACTGCAATACCGGTAATTTTCTTGAATATCAAGTTGTCTTTGAAGTATGACACACAAGGTTATTATTAAATACTAATCGGGTATTATTATTAAATACTAGCATGAGATAAACTCACCAGTTAAGTTTCGCATTAATAAATAGTAGTAGTAAAGTATTAACAAGAGGAGAGGCCTCGTTGTCGGTGGTCGTATCCCAAAATGAAAAACATTTTGTAGGGTACATAACTAACATAACACATAATGAAGTATGTCACTCTTAATTTTTGGCAGTACTAAATACTAACTAGCTTTGGAAAATGCGAGCCACCAGCTTTCTCCAAAACCAGTTATATATTGATATCAATTCTTGCTTTTGGATCTGGTTTTACAAAAAGTGACACCATTTCTTTTTTAAAAACATGTACTTAGAAAACAATAGCTGATTCTGTTTCATCTACCTAAGTCTTGGTAGTAAGTTATCTAGTACTTGTGTTGGCGGAGGTAGCTCGTACTCGACGAATAATTAAGGTGTGTGCAAGCCGGTATGGACGCCACAGCAGCGGTAGCTTGTAAAGTCGACTCCGTAGCCTTCGAAACCCATGCTACAGCCTTTTAACACTCCTAGATACAGATAGCGTGGGACGTACTGTGTTAGGGGAAGCATGGACAAAAGAACAGCTTCTTATGTTGTCCTAAATCTTGATTTGTGGTCAAGACAACTTTTGGAATTGTTAAGCTGCTTTTTAGTACACAGTCACAAACAACTTCTGGCTTTCCTTTGACATAGATTGAAAATTCTTAGAATTTTGATAGTAATTGGATATAACAAATTTCATTATGTTCCTTATATATATTACTTTTGTCTAGCAGGGACAAGACACTTAAACAATGGTATCGTTCAAGAATGGTGTCGCGCAAGGAGCAGTTACAAGGAACTTAATATTTTGTCTTTTTTGGGATATGTATATGCGTACAATTACAATGCACAATGAAGTGTCGGGTAGTATATATGTAATTTACTTTTTAGTAGTGATAATATTTATAATATTCGGCTTGAGAAATTCTTTTGATGTTTGTCAAACATTATTGGTTGCTTTAATACTGATAGTCAATTGATATGAATATCTCTATATGAAATTTTAGAGCATGGAAATGTATATAATTTTGGTCGTTATAATTGTTGAGAAAATAACTTTTAGTGGCAACATAGTTTTGTCAAAAAATTAGTAATTGTTGCGATATAAAAGTTGTCGTTGTAGGTCTATTTCTTTTGCAGCGACTTTAGTCGCTACAGAAAAAATTGTCTTTCATGGTTTAACTATTTTGTGGCCATGATAGTCGCTACTAAAAGGCATTTATAGTAGCGACATAATCTTGCCACCGAACATAAATACTTTTTGTGGCGATGCAAGTCGCTACTAAAAGGCATTTATAGTGGCGACATAATCTTGCCACTGAACATAAATATTTTTTGTGGTGATTCTAATCGCTGCTAAAGGTGAATATATAGCGGCAACTCATCTAATATTTGTTCTTATGGAACAATTTTTGTAGCGTTTTTTCCAACCTTTTGTGGCAACGCTGTCGCCACAAATAACCTTCAGTTACGGTTTTGCTTGTGGCAATACAAAAGTCGCTATTGATATCCTTTAGCAGCGACTCTTAGGGATATTGTAGCGACTTTGGTCGCCACAATAGGGTTGATTTCTTGTAGTTCTTAAGTTCCTACCATCTTCTTAACTGAAAAATAAACTATAAATGTCCACACACCAAAATAGAGTTTAAAAATATTAGGCTTAATACGTTTTACTCCTCTTATTAATATTTGAACTTTTTCAGTTTTAAAGGATGCGTTTATGCTAATGTAGCAATAAGATTATGAAGACTGATGAATAGGAGTTTGGATGCCTACATATTTTATTTTTTTTAATTTGTAAGTTAAAGGTACATATAAGCTATAGTACTTCAACAATTATAATTATAGAACCAAACATTCTGGTTAAGATGCAACTATGAATTCATTTGAAGACTGAAGAAAGCTCAAAATTTTTATTTTATTTACGAAATATCTGAGGACATGTACTGTAATAAAAGGTTAATATAGGGTGAGAAGGGATAGTAGAAAGATAAGTATACTATCTCCTATAAGAAATCCATAGAATTACAAAATAGGAATTAAAAGTAGTATCATTAACTCAATACCCACAAAATTGATAAAGTATAAAATGACAACTTTAAGGGCAATAGTTTTGAAAAGTTGAATGTGAGGACGATAAAATCTTTGGGTTGTCTCTTATTAATAATAGTAATATCATCTGCACCAGATTATCCTATGAGATAAAGACATACACTCTATGGGAAAGGAGAAAATATTATTGCATATGTTTTCATACCAAGTGTATAAATATTGACCAAAAGGGTTATGACTCCTATCAGTGGCTCGAAGCTTGATTAGATATTCGCTACCTTAACATGCTACCAAATGACCATGACAGATTTGATTTATCGGAGCAGGATTATAAAAGTGAATTGAATTCAAGTTGACAGACTTACAAGAAGAGAAAGATTATTGACGGAATCACATTCAATTTGTATTTGTCGGTACCGGTTATGACTTATGAATCATAATTGTGAACATCAGAAAACATGATACATAAGATCTCCAGGAATGTATCAATGTGATTCAAATAATCTAGGGCACTATGCAAATCTGCTCCGAAAGGAAAAACCTGTAGATCTCCTAAAGTAATATTGACCGTTAAATACTTCAAATTTCTTAAATGCAAAAATAAAAATCCAAAGTTGAAGTCTTCATCATCCAAACCTAATGTCGTCCAACTCCCACCTTTAATGGCAAGTAGACCTCTTAAAAAACTGTTTTTGTAGCCAATCATATGCGTTAAACTTAAAACACTTGTACTACTTCGGCCGCCGTCAAGTCGTACACGGCACTAGTCAAATTGCTAAATTAATACACACGCCATTCCTTAGCTGAGCCAACCTAGCTAAGGGTGTTCAAAATCGAACCGAAATCGAAGTTTAATGGCTTATTATTATCGAGTTAACGGTTTAACGGACAGAGAACGGATTGAAATTTTTTTATTAACGACTTATCGATTTGGGGACGGATTATTCAATTTTCTTAACGGATAATCCGTTAACCCATATATATATATATATATATATATATATATATATATGGATTTGGACAACTAGTGCAATCTGGAAAGAGCTATGATGACGTCCAGTGGCTGGCTTTGTAGGGACTATTTCTGCAGAAGTATATTTTTTAAGCTTGTAGAAATAATAAGATTTTGCAGTAGTAAATGCGAATCGCAGTGAATTTGTATATCAGAACGAATTAAGTGGTTAATATACTTTTTTGGTAATGGCCAATTTTAGCACAATTAAATGTGTTCGCCTTGCTTTTTTGTTGTTTTTATATTTTTATCGGTTAACTTTCTGTTTCCTTTTGCCCTTTCCTCTGCTCCTTTTCCCCGGATCCAAGTGCCAGTTCATTGTCTGTATCCCAACAATATAAGAAACGTAGCTTACTCTAACATCTCGTAGTCGGTGTGCGATAGGTTCCAAGCTAAACCTCTTCTATTTGCAACAAAACAATTAATGCACGCAATATAGATTGAATTAGGCCGATAACCCGCCCGATAAGAGCTAAACCGATCATACCAATCCGGCATATATCTTATCGGGTGGCTAGCGGATTAATACATTTAAAAGCCAATAACCGATAAGTCAAACCATTAAGAGTAAATAATTGCCCAATCCGCCCGATAAGCAGCCCCTACACCTAGCTGTCTTTCCTGTCTTTCCCCAGCATTTGGGTGGATGGATTTAAGTTTAACAAATAATTATCCTTCTATGGAGAAGGTGAAAAGAACAGAGAATATAAAAGGAGTTGCTTAATCAGTGAGTATTTTCAAGTTTACTAATACGTAGAAGTTTGAGTCAAACAAAAGATAAATAGTGGATAAGAAAGGGAAATAAACTGAAAAACGATAGAAAAAATATCTCCTTAGACTTGTGTTTTCCTTAATTTGAATAAATTATAAAAACGAATTCAAAATTTATGGGTAGAAAATAAAATGCAAATATTCATCTTTTCTTAGTTCTTTTATTTGGAAAATAAGATAGATTAAAAAAAATCGTGTATTAAATGCTAGTCAAAGCTCAAGGAAGGTTACTATCAGTGGGTTAGCCACATACAATGAAAGGTATTAAGATAAATATCCTTCAGTCGAAAATTTATATTGAGTATATATAGAATTATACTATGTGTATAAGTTAAAAATTACTTTTTATAATACCCTTGTAAAAAATTTCGTTTCACCATTGATTACCATGGCGTTTAATAAAATAACAACAAAATGCAAAAGCTTGAAAGTTTTTAAGAAACCTAATCTACGAACAAAAGTTGCAAACATGAAGTGAAATATAAGTTTGACCTATTAAGAGTATTATTTTCGTCGTTTGACTTACAAAAGTATGCGTGCAAAAAAACGCGTAAAGCTGTCAAAAGGAATCACATATGTTAAAAAATATCGTAATAGAGGGAAGAAAAATAAAGGAGAGAAAGAAACACTACTTACCTTTGGACGTTGGATGTGATTATCTAAACATGGAAAAAGGAAGTGGAGAGGGACCACAAATAACTAAGGAATAAAGAAGATGTTCAGTACTACATTCCTAACCCTATCAATCTTTTTTATATTTTGGCAGAATGACCTTCTAGCCACAAAAAATTACACCCAATTGCCAAACAACCTTAGCTTGATGGACAGAATATTAATAAACACAAACAAGCAAGCGTGTATATCAATTGCACTAACATGTCAAACACGTCGTATTACTTGACATGTTTTATTTTTGGGTCCCTCTTTTAAAATTAATTTATCAAAATTTTATTATATTTTTTACTTTCTTCTCCACTCAAACACTTCCTCCCTCTCCCTACCCCCACCCCCTCCCCAAACCAGTAAAAGAAGATATTGTTGGAAAATCCTCCGACCAAACCCCAAATCCAAGAAATTAGTCATCTTCTTTCATCCCTTTTTTCCTTCTCTTCTTATTTTTGTTAAGATTAATTAGGGATAGAATTTTTGACCATCAAAAATCCCTAATGGCTGCCACCTCCAGTTGGCCGACGACCAACCACAACCACCTCTCTTTTCTAAAAACTCCCAAAATCATAATAGATAAGTAAAACCACACACCTTTAGATTGAATCTGGCTGGAAAACTCCTAGTTGCTCTCTCTCCCTTCAAAATTATAACATTTCTTTACTCAAATCACTCACTATATTTGAGAAAGAATAAGAAAATGAGATGAGAAAGAGTTGAAAGATAAAGAGAAGAACTGGCTTAAAAGAAGGGGTGGACTGACCGGAGATAAACGGAGAGGGGTTACTGGTAAAAAGAAGAAAGAGAGGAGAGGCGAGTACTGATGGACATCGGGGCGCTTTTTCCCTTTTCTTTTTATTTTTTTAATTTTTCCTTTTGATTTTAGTATTTTTGTTTTTAAATCAAAATATTGTACTCACGCACATTTTCTGTGTGAGTCAGTGGCGGAAAGTGGTGGCTAGTGGGTTCAACTGGATCCGCTTTACAAAAAAATAATATTGTGTATATGTATAAATTAGGATTAAAGCTATGTAAATTTTGTATAACTATTTCTTTGAACCTACTTGACAACTACTATTTTACGACTAAAGTTATATACTTCTAAGATTGAATTCGCTTGCACAAAATCCTGGGTCCGTCATGGGTGTGAGTGGCATGCATTTTGTCCACATTGTCTATGTCACTATCACAAAGTTGAGGTGATAGTGTTATTAATCTTTAAAGTTGAGGTGTTCAAATGATAAAACTAGTGTTATTAATCTTTCTTTTATCAAGTTGAGGTGTTCAAATGATAAAACTGTAAGTCTGTTTACCGAGTTGACAATTGGGTGCAAGTTTAAGTGGACAATATGCCAATTTGCCTTATATCTTTCAATGTTTGGTTCATCGGTAGAAGATCAGCTTGAAGTAGGATAATGGTAATGTTCACAATC